GCTCAGTTCTGATCAGTTTGATTGTATGATTTATCAGATTCTTTCTCCTATCAGCAACATTAGGTCAGTGTTTCTTCTTCATGTCTCACCTGTACCACTTTATTAAAGACAAGAAGTCAATTCAATACAAATATTTTTTTTTATATATCACAACAACAATTTCCTCACAGCCCTTTATATTGTAAGGTTAAGACCCTACAATAATAAAAATGAAATGAAAACAGAGAAAACGAACATTTGCAGACCTTGCCAAAACGTTTGACATGGAAGACATGACACTCCACACAGCATAAAGTTGAAGCCTGGACTGGACTTCACGACAAACAGATAGAAACATGACAAGCCACTGGTCTCTGCCAGGCGTCAAATTATTATTTTTAAGTAGTTAGGAAAGTTTGGAGTCATAATCTTTGGTTTATCTGGGGCCAGCAGCCTAAGCAGAGAAGAGCAGACTTGCCTCTCCCCAGCCACCTAATCCAGCTCTCTTTTCACCTCGATGTTTTGGTACAGTGTCCACATCACTGCAGCCACAGCACCAATCTGTTCATAGATCACTCTCTGCCCTCACTCATCAACAAGATACTTAAACTCCTCCACTTGGGGTAATAAGTCATCGCACTCTGGGAATGCTGGTGAAGAGTTGTGAGCTGAAGATCTTGACAGTTGAGACCATGTCAGGCACCTGTCTTTGTGCCTGACATGCTCGTCCTGTGATGTTTGTCATCACATCTGTGTTATACCTGTGTCGCTGGTGTATTTTCTCAGCGGTGTGGGTCACTTCAGCTCAGTTTTCTCTGTTTTTTCTTGTCTGCTCTTTGCAGAACTTGCAGACTTTTTTATATGAGGTATTCAGATTTGATAAGACGAATGGAATACTTAGAATGTTTTATATCTTGGAATGTAGCAACCCGCCCCTCCATGTGTTACAGTGCTGAACAAAACATCTAATACTGGAAGTGCAGTTCAATGTAAAAAAACAACAAAAAACCCAAAACTAAAAAAAACTAAACAAAAAATTTCAAATGTTTAACTGTAATGTTACATCACCTCACCGCTCTTAGTTTATGCTTATGTGAAACAGTTTAACAGAAGCAGATTACACCTGGTGTTTGTTTAAGGAAAACAGAAGCAGAGCTAATATTCATGAAGTCATTTAGAGTAACCTGATAAAATACTAAAGTCTGTTTGCCTTACACATGCAGAGCATGATCTTCATCTCCCATTTCCAGCACAAAATGTATTATAAAAGCAAATTAAAGTTACAAACTCAGTCTAATTTGCATCAATGTACACATTATTTAAAATTACTCAGGTTTTTTATGTATATAAAAGTGCAGTGTAAACA